TAGAACTTTACAACTATTCACATATGTGTACTAGAAACATTGCATACCATGCGATCCCTTTCATCCTCTATTGATGCAATAAGTTTACCAAATTCCTTTAGACTTTGAGATATATGAGTTTCATCTTCAGTTTGTGTTTCTCCGATACATTCAAAACTAAAGTTCTGCAATGTCTTGGAAAATGCTCTCTGGGCTCTGGACAAATCTAAAAATAATTATTTATTCTGTAATTACAAGTAAAATCTTCGAATAAACCTTTTTCTGTTCTCAATATTATTGTGAAGAGGCTTAAAGTGAAACAAAAAATCTTATCCTCATTGAAAATATTGGAAAAAGAAATTTTTCTCTTTATTTAATCATAGTCACAAAATATATCACGTAAATGAATAGTAATTACATATCTGTACAGTCAGAAAACAAAATTTGCAGGTACCAGAAAAAAAATTCTAATAGCGAAATGAAATTAACAATCCATTGATAAACAAACTTGTCATGGATTAGTGATATAAATAAACGTGTGCAATGCTCCGAATTATTAATTAAAGGAAGGTTAGTCACAATAACACGATTAATAGAAAAATATTGTTAAATATTCTAATGTTGCTAGTGAAACGTGACTAATTGCGAAAAAAATGTCGAGATAAAATAGATTACGGTGACAGCAGCTGTTATACAGACACACAACTTCTTATAGCATACAGAAGATAATAAACTTACTTTTGGCAGCTAGCAAAAGATCTTTGACCTCTTTGATGAGCCGTTTAATCTGTTGGCTGGTCTTCTCCAATTCACGTTCATGATAATGAAGATTTTCTCGAAAATAGGGACTATCGGTTAAGCAATCCGTAAACTCTAATGGTTTGAGGCCAATACCCATTATTCTTGATTGTGTGTTAAAGTTCGAAAGTCATTAATAAGTTGGAACAACCGCACGAACGAGTCAACACTTAATAACAAGTATTAGATATTACGATTATTAAACGAAGACAGAAATTTTCTATCGTGGTGCACGCATCGAGTCACTTCGTGGCGGGAATGTTCTTAACGAAAACACAAGATCAGACCGCAATACAATTTCTCCTGTTTATTGCTAGTCATGAACAAAGATGTACATTTTCCGAATCTCCGTTAAGGCTAATACAAATCACCAGTAAGATTATATAGACTGGAATTTTGCGATGTCGATTAAAGATCACGTACCCCTTTAGTCGTACGTGCGAACTACATTTTAAATGGCGGGACATTCGAGTAACTTTACAATAATGTTAACAACACTGTCCAACGCATATTTAAAATAATATAGTTGGAATTTATAGGATAGTGTAATTAGATTGTGAACATTTACTTTTTATGTACACTTATCAGTTTCCACTGAACATAACTTCGTTTGCTCTAGTAATATGGATTTTTCAGTAAAAAATAAAATAAAAATGTATTGAAAGTTTATGATCACTTTTCTTTATTCATGCTTACATCAAAATGTTAAAACTTTTTCATTATACTGTGATTATAAATTTAGATTTGAATGTACTATGATTTGACTGTCATCGAAAACAATATTTCTTTGAATAAACAATGAAATACTTTAATTGTTTATGAATAATCCTTCTACTATTTACACGAGATCAGAAAAAATAAGTTAATTAATTCCACTGCAAATAATTATTTTCGAAATCAATTGCACCAAAAATAGTAGGATTGATTTTATGTAAATTTATTTCCAGTGATTGTGAGAGAAGCCTATATGTACAATCCTCTCCATAGAGAATCATTACTGGAAAGTGTATGTGTATGAATGTACACAGGTATATACCACTCCATGCACCTATTTAATTGTGTATTTACACGCTTTCAGTCAGCTTTTATTGCATTTTTGAGTAATTAGTGTAAAGCTATGTAAACATAAACAAGATAATTTTATAAAACCTTCATGAATTTACAAAATATCTTACAAATAAAAATTAATTACTATTCATGCAAGTTTACATTTTAGGAAAATAATAGCTTTTATTTTCTTTCAAACCACAAGAACTAATATATAATTTACAATATTAATTTTATAAATCGATCATAGAGAAAATTTATTTTCTCAACATTTTCTCTGCATGTTGGAAAGCGTTCATTAAAATATTGATACTTACTTAGCAGTAGACAGATTCGTGGACAATTAGAAGCAAAAT